AAGTGATCGTCCAACCTCCTCTTGAAGTTGCCCGAGGTAGGGGGGTGAGGACCACTTCCCTGGGAAGTTGGTTCCAGATTCTGGCCACCCTAACTGTAAAATATTGCCCAGGCCCTTACTCCATGGTGAGCACCAGGACCTGGGAAACGGGGGCCAGAACTAACCCCAAGGGGGAAGAAAAACCTGGCTTCTTAACACAGGAGCCTGGGGCAGCGATGCTCAAGACAAGGCCGGCAGGGGCTGGTGCCCCACACCTGTGGTGCCTACCTGCGCTGGCAGCACCTGTGCCCACCGCTCTGGGCACAGCACAGCGCTCCCTCCGACCTGGGCTCCCCGGTGCTTCGCTTGGGCCCTGCCAGTGAAATGACCTTGGACCTGACGGCTCACATCTTCCCCCCACTCCCGCCAGCCTGCCCAGAGGGGGGACACCTACGGCTGTGGGGCAGGAGGACACTGGTGCTGGAGGGGGGAGGCACAGGGAACGCAGGTGTGGGAGATGGGGTGGTGCACGCAGGTGGCAGGACCCTGAGCAGGACAGGGGGAGGGTGGAGACAGCTCCCAGGCCACCCTGGGGCCGTACCAGGAGCTGCTTCCCAGCCAGTGGCCCTGGGCAGGATCTGCTCCCACCGGACTGGGCAAGCTCAGCACACTGCAAGGGCATGGGGGGGTTGTTGGCTGGAAGTGCACCTGGGGCAGGAGGCCAGCAGGGCTCAGCTCCAGCCTCCCTGCAGACGGCAGGCTCCTCCACCCACCCTGCGTCTGCCAGCCCTGTGCACACAGCCCTGGTAGCAGGGCAAGATGGAGCTCCTGCTGCACCAGGCCTGCCTGCAGCTTCATGGGTGCTGGCCCAGCAGCTGGGACAGGCCAGAGGCACAGAGGCCCCCGGCTGGTCACGGAGAAATGCAGTGAGGAGGGGGTGGCGTGGGCGAGAGGCGGCAAGCACAGTGCTCGCAGCACGGGTGCCCTTTGCCCGAATACAAGAACAGAATCTGGAGCCTGCACGGCCAAAGCTGACTCCCACTCCCAACACATGCCCCCCGGCCTGGCCGTGGCGGCTCTGGAGCTGCCAGCACTGAAAGTCATCTGTGGTTAAAAAAAAAAAAAAAAAGAAAAAGAAAAAAAAGAAAAGAAAAAAAAAAAAAAAAGGAGCCAGGCCCTGGGGCTGCAATGGGCAGCCCTTGAACCCCACGTGTGGACAGAGAGGCTGGGCGGGCCGGGGCCCCGGGGAGAGCACTCCTGGCTCTGCTCAAGAGCCTAGCAGGGCTGGAAGCTGAACAGGAATGCAGGCGGCCTTCAGACCAGGCGAGAGGGGGAGAGGGGGCGACCTGAAGGACCAGCGACGCTGGATGCAGGGCGCACTGCACAGGCCACTGAGGATCCTAGGAATCCAGCCAGAGCTCAGAGGTTGGGGTCTGGCCTACCCCGCTCCGAGGGTGCGTGCCTGCCTGCTGCCCCTGCCTGGTCGCCACGCTAAGAGTTCTTCTGTTCAGCTTTCCACAGCAGTGATCTGTGAAGCGGAGCCAGGTGCACTCTCTTTTTACTACAGGACCCCATCCGGCACTGCAAGCTCTCCCTGTCCCGATTTGGGGCTCAAGGGTTTCCCCTCACCCCATCCTACTTCCCCGGTGGGGGCTGCATCCTTTGTTGGGGGGTTGCTTAGGGGGCTGCCCGGTGCCAGTGCAGGGAGCCAATGCCACGAGGGAAAGACAAGTCAGAGCAAACGATGTCCAGGAGGGGTGGCAGGTGCTAGGCAAACCCCTCCGAGTGGACAGGCTCTTCCAGGGAGCGGATGAACAGCAGTCCATGGCGAGGGCACCGCAGTTTCTCAAGGAGGCAACCCAGGCTGAGCGCGGGGCCCTGCTCCCTCCAGCTGCTGGTGCTGTGGCTGGACGGAGTTTGCTGCATCACAGCTGGAAAGGAAAGTGCTGGCGGAAAGTCCTGCCCGTGGGGGGCAGGTCAGTGCAGCAGTAAAGTGCGTCAAAGCTTTTCAGAGCCCCCACAGCTGTCTGGGAGCGCGTCCACGACAGGTCCGTGAGAGCAACACACAAAGCGTCCAGAAGGGCGGGAGCTGGCAGCTTCTTCTGCCCTGCCGGGCACCCAAACTGGGCATGGGTGGGTCCAGGGCGCATGAGCGGAGCGATGCTGTGGCTGCTGCGTGTGGGGCAGTTCAGACAGAGCCAGGCTGGCCCAAGCTTGGGCGCCGGCAGGGCCTTCCAGGCACTCACATGCATGCAACCTGCATCCTGCAAACAAAACACACAAGTTAGTGCCGCCTGGGCTGAGAACGACCTGGTAGGAGCTCACATTACTGGAGCACGGTCACGGATGAGTACAAACTGCTCAGGAAGGACAGGCAGGGGAGGAGAGGAGTTGCACTATATGCAAGAGATGTAGGACCGCTCAGAGCTCCAGTATGCAACTAGAGAGAAGCCTGTTGAGAGCCTCTGGGTTTGGGTCAAAGGGGAGAGCAACAAGGGTGATGTGTGGTGGGGTCTGCTATAGACCACCAGACCAGGAGGAAGTGGTGGATGAGGCTTTCTTCAAACAGCTAGTGCAAGTTTCACATTCACAAGCCCTGGTTCTCTTGGGGGACTTCAATCCCCGTGACATCTGCTGGCAGGGCAACGCAGCAGTGCACAGGTAATCCAGGAAGGTTTTTGGAGAGTGGTGGGGACAACCCATTGGTGCAAGTGCTGGAGAGATCATCTACGGGCCATGCTCCTCTTAACCTGCTGCTCACAAACAGGGACGAATTGGTGGGAACGTAGAAGTGGATGGCAACCTGGGTAGCACTGACCACGGGATGATTGAGTTCGGGATCCTGAGGAAAGGAAGGATGGCGAGCAGCAGAGTAAGGACCCTGCACTTCAGAAAAGCAGGCTTGGAGTCGCTCAGGAAACTCATGGGCAGGATCCCCTGGGGGGCCAGACTGAGGAGGAGAGGAGTCCAGGAGAGCTGGCTGTGTTTTAAGGAAACCTTACTGAGAGTGCAGGAACAAGCCATCCCGATGCACAGGAAGACCAGCAAGTGCGGGGGAAGACCAGCTTGGCTTAGCAGGGAGCTCTTCAGTGAGCCAAAACAAAAAGGAAGCTTATAAGAAGTGGAAACAGGAACAAACAGCTATGGAGGAGTACAAGAGCGTTGCTCGGGCATGCAGGGATGAAGTCAGGAAGGGCAAAGCGCAGCTGGAGTTGCAGCTACAAGGGAGGTGAAGGGGAACAAGCAGGGTTTCTACAAGTACATCGGTAGCAAGAGGAGGATCAGGGAAAGTGGGGGTCCCTTCCTGCATGGGGGAGGCAACTTAGTGACAGAGGATGCAGAAAAGGCTGAAGAGCTCAATGCCTTTTTCACCTCAGTCTTCACAGGCAAGGTCAGCTCCCAGACTGCTGCACTGGGCAGCACAGTCTGGGGAGGAGGGGAGCAGCCAACAGTGGTGCAAGTACAGGTTAGGGGACTATTTAGACAAGCTGGACATGTACAAGTGCACGGGCTGGATGGGAGGCACCCGAGGAAAATGGGCAGAAACAGTTGGTGACGGACAGGGGGGACAAGGCTGAACTCCTCAATGAGTTCTTTGCCTCAGCGTTCCTAAGCAAGGGGCGCGACAAGTCTCTCACTGGGGTTGTAGAGAGGCAGCAGCAAGGCGCCAGACTACCAAGTGTAGACCCTGAGATGGTGCAGAGGCACTTGGAGGAACTGGATGCCTTTAAGTCGGCAGGCCCGGATGAGCTCCATCCGAGGGTGCTGAAGGCACTGGCCGACATCATTGCAGAGCCACTGGCGGGAATATTTCAACGCTCGTGGCGCACGGGCCAAGTCCCAGAGGACTGGAAAAGGGCCAATGTGGTCCCCATTTTCAAGAAGGGGAGGAAGGAGGACCCAGGCAACTATAGGCCAGTCAGTCTCACCTCCATCCTTGGCAAAGTCTTTGAAAAGATTATCAAGGCTCACATTTGTGAGAGCCCAGCAGGACAAATTATGCTGAGGGGAAACCAGCACAGGTTCATAGCAGGCAGATCGTGCCTGACCAATCTA